CTTAGTTCCATCAGCCTAATTGAAAACCTCAACTAAATTCTTTTCTCTTAGTTTTGACTTTATATTCTATTAAAATATAAAGCACATTTATCATCATATGAAGTTCATTGTGACCTCAGGCAAAGGGAGTCAGCCACATGTGGGAGTGCTAGAAATAAACCTGGTGTCTGTCTTATGGGAAGCAGTATGTGTCTAATGAGAAAAAGGAACTTGCCTGTCTAGTGAGATCTTTGCTGACTTCTTGTACTCTGACCCCATGTTTAAAAAAACATGCAGAACTTTAATTCTTTTGAGTTCATTTTTAAACTAGTACCTTTTTCTCACCAAACATTTTTTTACTGTTTCTATAAATATATGTGCTCCAGTGTTCCTATTGTGTTTGTTTTTCTTTTGGCCAGCTGTTCAGGTTAAACTGGGTCACATAGCACACACTCTCTTAAGTTCAATCTAAAATCTAATGTACCTTCTATATACAGTACTATTTTGGTCACAATATTTCAGTACTTGTAACAGTGCCATTTTAGCATGAATCAAAGTGCATATTTCTCAGTTTCATTTTCCCTGATGTCTCAAAATACCCTTTGGGCATCTTTCATTTCCAATTAGAACATTTGTAAGGCATCAATATGTTAGAACATCCTGACCTTCTTTGCTTAACAAATAATAGGCATTTAGTCTTTTCTGTCAAGTCCAGTATGTTTTCTACTGTCTGGCCTTTGTTAGAGTTGACAGTCCTTCACACTGCCGCCCTCTGTCCCCCCCCCCCACACACACACACACACTCATACCCATAAAGACACATGACATTAAATTTTGGACAGTTGTCTTTATTGTGACTTGCATCTGAGTTGCTCTAATTGAGTTTACTTTGCTTTTAAGAGAGCTACACAGCAGTACTTGAATGACACTGGTATCAGTAGTCTCAGAAGGATGAAGAAGAAGATGGAATTAAAGCAGTCATTAGGAAAAGTTCTTACATTTTCCTTCTCTGGGGGCAGTGGGCTAAGATACCATGCAGACTTGGGTCAGTGTGTCAGAGTCAAGGCCAAAGAAAACTTTTTACATAGCTATTCAGAGTAGGGATGTGGAGCTGCCTCCCATTGTAGAATTTATTTTTACATATTTTAATATTTCTACATATTTTAATTTTTGCTTTAGTGGAAAGGTAGCAAATTACTCCTTGGGTCAGAGAGTCTGAGAAAGGAAGATAAACATTACCAATTGTTGTCATGCCTTTATAAGAAGTGTAGTAGACATTCAGTGCAAAGGAGGCCCATGTCGGATGGTCAGGGTTTGTCCCCAACTTGACTTCTGTCAAACTGTCTCTCAGACAGGAATGTTTTTTCCTTACCATTGTGAGTGTTCCATCCTCAAGACACCAAATGCTTTCATCGTTGCCTGCTTTTGGAGAGGAAGTTGTTGGACTTTTGCCCAGTTGGGCTGCAAGCAGGGTAGAAGATGCAGGAGAGTGAGCCAAAGTGCACTTTAATTGGGCAGTGTTTACTTCACATGTGTGTGTCATGATAAGGATAAAGGGTATTGCTAAAAACCTTTTATGTACTGTAACTACTATTCTTATTGAGAGGTACATTCTTAAAAGGAGAAAGAAATTAATAGTGAGATGTAAAGCAGTCTGTTGGTGTATCAGATAGCCAATATGTACTTTGACAACTCTTCTCTTAACTTTATTTTGCTAGAACTAGGAAAATGCTTAAAGAGGCATCAATTAGTTCAATTGTTTGCTGGAAGGAAATTTAGGAACTACTTAATAAAACTCCCCACTTTTATTTGATTGTTACATGCACTAACACACTTACATTCTCTCTCTCTCTCTCTCTCTCTCTGTGTCCTTTTTTCTCTCTCATAAAGTCCTTCAAGAGTTTTTTTCACTGCATTTAGGGGAATGACAAAAGTCTTTAGGTGGCCTGAAGAAGGCTGCCTGGTCTTTCCAACACTGACTGTTTCTTCTTCTCACCTTGCTTTTGGGCTCCCCTTGTCCTCTCCTCACAACACTTGGCACGTTCTTGTGGCACTTCTCACGTGTAGTACATTGTGCCTTTGTGGTTTCTCTCAATGAGAGGCTGGTTATTTGCTTGTTTCTGTATCACCAGCAGCTAACACAATGCTTGGCACATAGCTGCACCCAAATACTTATGGAATTCACGAATTCTACCCATTGCATTTTCTGTAGTCACCCAACTTTTATTAGAACTTTCCAAGGTCTCTCATTCCATTTTGGAGTTGTTCTAATGAGGATACAGTTTTTAGAAAACAGGAGAAAATGTTTGCAACCAGAATGAGAAAAGGATATTATTAATATACAGGGGTGGGCAAAAATAGGTTTACAGTTGTATGTGAAACAGAGTTAGTAAAGTTATTGCAATAGTGATAACCTGCACTTCATTCCTTTTCAGGAACAACTGTAAACCTTATTCATAAAGGAAATTCTTCTTAAAATGGCTAAAGAGATCTGAGAAAGTTTTAGTTTTTACTAGGGATAATAGAAATGCATATTAAAACAAAATGCTACCTATCAACTTAGCAAAAACTGCTTTGCACAAGAAGCAGCCTTAGAGGCTTCTTTTATTTTCAGTGACACTGGTGACTGTGAGGTTAAAAATTTAGGTTTAGGGCCACACAGGCATAGTTTTAAGCATTGGATCTTTTATTTAGTTAAATGTATGACTTTTTGCAAATTTTTTTATTTCTTATTTGTAAAATTGGCAGCTTACTTTATAGGAATTTTGTTATTAAACTTGTTTATTCATTCAAAATTTTTTATTTTTACTGAGCACTAGTCATCAGAGAAATGCAAATTAAAACCACAATGAGCTATTACCTCATGCCTGCCAGACTACCGTCAGTAAATCAACAAACAAATGCTGGAGAGGGGGTGGAGAAAAGGGAACCCTTGTGCACTGTTGGTGGGAATGCAGACTGCTGCAGCCACTGTGGAAAACAGTACAGAGTTTCTTCAAAAAACTAAAAATGGAAGTTCTTTTCACCCAGAGATCCCACTTCCAGAAATATATCCTAAGAATTCTGAAGCACCAATTCCAAAGAATATACACACCTCTATGTTCACAGCACTGTTATTTACAATAGCCAAGCTCTGGAAACAGCCCAGGTGCCCACCAGTAGCTGAGGGGATAAAAAAGCTGTAGTACACTTACACAGTGGAGTACTATACTACCATAAAAAGAATGAAATCTTACGTTTTGCAACAGCCTGGATGGACCTGGAGATTATTATGCTAAGTTAAATAAGCTAGTCAGAGAAACACAAATATCATATGATCTCACTTACATGTGGAATCTAATGTACAAAATAAACTGACACCCTGGCTGGTGTAGCTCAGTGGATTGAGCACGGGCATGAGAACCAAACGATCGCGGTTCAATTCCCAGTCAGGGCACATGCCTGGGTTGCAGGCCAGTTCCCAGCAGGGGCCAGTTCCCAGCAGGGGATGCACCAGAAGCAACCATACATTGATATTTCTCTCCCTCTCTCCTTCCCTTCCCCTCTAAAAATAAATTAATTAATTAAAAAAATAAATAAACTGACAGACAAAATAGACACAAACATGGATACATGTAGCAAACTGACAGCTATCAGAGAGGAAGAGAGAGAGATGGACTGGATGAAAGAAATGGAAGGGATTAGCCAAAGAACAAGCATAACCCATAGACAGAACAGTGTGTCGATGGCCAGAGGGAAGTCAGGGTAAGGGCTGGGTAGGGTGTTGAATAAGGGGAAATAGAGATATCTATAATAGTGTCAACAGTAAAAATAAAGTTAAAAAGTATTGAGTGCCTGCTTTGTGCCAGGCACATTCTCAGGCACTGAGGATGCAGTATTGAACAGAGTGTCCCTGCCTGATGTAACTTTCACCCTAATGGTGGAGACAGACAATAAACTAATAAAATAAATGTACAGGATATTGGATAGTGTCGAGGACTATAGAGGAAAATAAAGCAGGGAAGAGATAGCAAGTACTATGTATGTCACAGATAGTATGCTGCTATTTTTAATAGGATTTCACTGGGAATTTTTCACGGAGATGGTAACATATCAGCAAAGATTTCTAAAAGGCAAGGGAGTAAGCCATGTAAATGTCTTGGGGAAGAATGAGCCAGGCAGAGAGAGTATTTTAGCTGATATGTTTGAGGAATAGCAGGGAAGCCAGTGTTATCTGAACAAAGTGAGCAAGGAGAGGATACTAGGAGAGGTGAAGGAGAAGTAGATTGAAGGCCTTGTGAGTTATGGCAACCATGTCAGCTTTCACTTTGAGGTGGGAAGACTTGCAGATGATTTCAGTCAGGAGAGTGACGTAATATGAGTATCTTTTAGATGGATTATGTTGCTGTTGCATCTAAAACAAACTCTGATGTGGAAGCCGGGAGTAATTAGGAAACTGTTGAATTATTAAGGATTGATGGTTATTTGGACCAGGGTGGTAGCAGAAGGAATGGTGGAGGCAGAGAAGTACTTGGACTCTATGCATATTTAAGATAGGTAAGTGTCAGGCCTGAGAGGAAGTGTCAAAGATGGCCTTAAGGTTGTGGGCTTGAACACGTGGAAGGATGGGGTTGCCATTAACTAAGCTAATACAGAGTACTTATCCTGCTGTGTATTACCTGGTAGGTGCTCCATTAAGGGTGGTTCCCTTCCCCAATACGTAGAGTAAAAAATGAAAGACTTTTCTTATATCTAATGTGCTTCTGTCCATCTATACAAACAAATAGAATATTTCACCAGAATAATTAGATAACATTATGTATTGGAACTCTAGTAAATTACTCCATCTGTTGGCCAAGAGATTTACTTCCTAACAGAAGGTAGAGCTCTTATTTTTCCACATGGTAATAATATAGTAATAGCAAGGGTATCAATAATAATAAAACATTTTTAAAAAATCAAAGAAAAAACTTACTCTTAATATTGACTTTAATGGATAATATAGACATGTGACTCCTTATGCCCATTTTTTTCCCTTTCAGGATGTTGCCTTATGGCTGTTTAGCAACAGGAGATCGCTCTGGCCTCATTGAAGTTGTGAGCACCTCTGAGACAATTGCTGACATTCAGCTCAACAGTAGCAATGTGGCTGCTGCTGCAGCCTTCAATAAAGATGCCCTTCTGAACTGGCTTAAAGAATACAATTCTGGGTTAGTTTATTTTGTTTGATTATTATTTTTTCTGAATAAACAGTCAAATAATTGTTCTCCCAGTTAGGATCATCAGTGTCCTAGAGGAAATATTACAGTTATTCGTTGTCGCTTCATTTCAGGTTAGATCAAAATGACATATAGGCCTTCCTAAAGTCTTACAGATGATTAGCACTGAATTATACTTTATCTAGATCTTAAATTCCAAAGTTTAGATATTTTAAAAATAGCATAAGTTTTTTTGCATCAACTTCTGTAATTATGTGAATGTATGAGCTTAAGTGAGTTCTCAATAGATTTTTACAGTAGAAGTAAATGATTTTGTAGACAGTGATCACTCCACACTAAAAAATTAAGTGCTTGGATTTGTGTTTTTATGGATATTATGTTGGAAAAGCCCTAATATTTAGGAAATTAAGCATTATCACAGTGAGGGGTAAACATTTTGCAAGTATTTTTGACTAAAGATTTCAAAGCCAGACTTAAATTTTACTATTGGCAAAGTCAGAGGACTTGTATGTATCAGTTTACAAATCTCTGTCTTGTCTCTATTGGATCTGTATTACTCACTTCTAGTTTAAATCAGTGACATGAATGATTGGAACTGCAAAACTTAACTCTTAAATATGGAATTCTTAGGTCTTAGGTCAAAACTGACCAAAATGTTCCAAAGCCCCAGCATTACCCAGCAAAGCTAATGGGCTCTTCTCATTTCTATGCATGTGAACCTACCTCCATCTGCTCTGAAACATGACCCCAGGACACAGCGATTTGAATGGCTGAGGTCCAGTTGTTTAGGGCTTTCAGTCAGCCTGCTCACTCCTCTCTGCTCTTGTCCCTTTGAAGATATGCTCACTCTCTTGGCTGATTCAGCATGTTCTGCTCATATGTTTTTGGCAGCTCTGTGTTGCAGTTCTCCCAATTAAAGAGGAAGCAAGTATGAATTGGGTCTTATCTCACACATCTGGAGGCTGAGACCTTTGTTGCTTCTATTTTTTCTCTTGTTCAGGGATGACCTGGACCGAGCCATTGAAGAGTTTACCTTGTCCTGTGCTGGCTACTGTGTAGCTTCTTATGTCCTTGGGATTGGTGACAGACATAGTGACAACATCATGGTAAAAAAAAACGGCCAGGTGAGCTGTTCCCCAGACTAAAGTGATACTTAACTTATGTGTCACACAATCTCTTATGAAACTCAGGCAGATTCTTTAATTCCTGGAGTCATGTGTTTGTCTTTGTTTGATTTCCCACTCCTCATTTCACATACCGTCTACTTCATATGTCCATTGATTTGTTTGCTTAAAGTTAAGTGAAGAGAATTTATTTAAATGTTTTAAAAATTATTGTGGTTATTTTAAAAGTGACTTACTCTTTCAGTGTAAGAAATTGCATTTTGGACACATGTACTTAAGAGTAGAAGGAATAGATGATGTGTAGAATGTATTAACTTTAAATAAGATAATCAATGATTAAAAAGAAAAAAATTGGGATGAACCCTGCTTGAGCCATTTTCTCTTTTAGAACATCAAATAAACATGGGAGTAGGGGGAAATGGAGTATGAGTAATAACATTTTGGGGTAGCCAGGGAAGTAGATCAGATTATTTATGGAGAAGCTGTTTTCAGATGAAGAATTTTTTTATATTTCCAAGTGACTTATGTTTTCTTGTTAATTCTTTTATAGTAAACAAAGACAGATGAGATATTTGGGATAGTTTTTTTAGTTTAGCCACTTTTGGAATTTCCTGCCACAAGAGGCACATTCCAGAATGAAAATCTTTAGGTCCCTGTGTGAAATCTGGCTGTAGGTGGGGACCAGATTTTATACCTTCTGAGAGGTTTGGGTAGTTCTGCCTTGGGCTCTGACAGTTCAACTTTGTGTTCACACTTAAAAGGATTCCCTTGGATTTTTGGTGAATCAGATTGAACACATAGGTTTTTCTTTATTCTTTCTGATACCCTTCTAATACGATCTTAAGGAATAAGAAATGTGGAAATTCAAGTAGTCAAAAATAATAGGAGAAGAGGTCCCAGTGGGTAAAAGACATCAGCAGATCTGGGGATGATAGAAAGCACGATGAAAAACTGGCAGTGACTTAGCATAGCTGAGGAAAATGGAAACCTGAATACTTTTATTTATTTATTTATTTTAAGATTTTATTTATTTGTCTTTAGAGGGGAAGGGGAGAGGGAGAGAGATATCAATATGTGGTTGCCTCTTGTGAGTCCCCTGCTGGGAACTGGCCTGCAACCCAGGCATGTGCCCTGACTGGGAATCGAACCGCAATTGTTTGGTTTGCAGGCCCGCACTCAATTCACTGAGCTACACCAGCCAGGGCCGAAACCTGAATACTTTTAGAGGGCTTTGTCAGTCTGAGTAAAGCTTTGGAACCAGATGCACAAGGCACAACAGAAGGTATAGATGGGAATAGGATTGATTGGTAGTTTATATACAGAGCAACTACGTGCTCATGTCTCCTTCCCACTTCCAAGATGGAGTTAGATTTATTCTCTGAAGAAATTGATTCTTCTGACTCAGGCATTCTACAGAAGCTGAGGGAAAGGTGCCATATTAAAAACAGGGATGAAGTGAAAGTTGGCATACTAAATGATACAATCCACACCCAGTTTGGCTTGCTTTCCTTCACGAACACTAGCAACCAGGTGTGTACATCCCCACCCTCAGCAGAAGTCTTGATTCTTTTTAAGAGAATGTTATTGATTCCAACAAAAAGACCAACAGATCCTGACATTTGAGATTCCCCCCAGTCATTTTGCAAGAAATCCCACAAGTCAATAGTCCTACCATGTACATGGAATTTTCATTCAGCTTTTTAGTGATTCATCATTAAATGTGAATGATTAACCAAGTATTAGCAGAAATTTGAGGAAGCCTCTAATGTGAAAGATAGAGATCAAAGCAAAAAGGGTGAAAAAAACCTGTGGAAACAAATAACTGCAGTAAAAGGATGATGATTAATAAATCAAAACCAAAGAAACAGTACATCTATGAAGTAATGATAGGATTATTTAAAAAAAAAAACAGAAAATGGAATTCTTAGAAATTAAAAGGAGGGACAAATAAAAAGAGTAGAATTGGTATAATCTAAAGATTACCTAATATTTATTAAACTCTTAACTTTGGAAGGCACAGTTCTAAGTTCTTTAGTTAACTTCTTCAATCCTCAGGACAACCTTGCAGAATAAATGATAGGGTATTCACCATTCACCAGTGAGAAAATTGAGGCATCAGACATACCAGGATTTACATCCTGATCATTTTGCTCAGATTCTGTTTTTTTAGCCACCATGCTCCGTATTGCCCCTTAATATCCCAAGAAAACCAAAAATATCCGATAAATAAATTGAAGAAGGAATGCATATCCAGTAATGATAGTGAATTAGACCAGGGAGGTCCACCATCACCATAATAGGAGTTCAGAAAGAAGTAACAAGGGAAGGAACTACCCCAGCAAGTAATATTAAAAATTTCCTAAAGCCTGATGTTCATGAATATCTAGTCAGTAGAACACAAAAGTTCCCTTATAGTGGATGAAAAGAGCCTCACTGAGGCCCTTCACCATGACATTTCATTGCATCAGGCATAAAGAGACGGTGTTAAAACCTTCCCAGAGACCCAGCAGGCCACATACTTGGAGTCAGAAAGACTTGGCTTCTCAATAGCAACATTGGAAATTTAAGAGGGTGGAAGCTAGCCTTCATAATTTTGACAAAAAATGATCTCTAACCTAGAATTCTAGTCAAACTATGAAGGAAGTACAAAGGTGGAATAAAGAGATTTCAAAACATACAAGGTCTCAACAGCTGTATCTCCTCTGCATCTTTTCTGGTAGTCTAGGGAGGCTACCAGAATAGGACATCCACCAAAACAAGGGTATAAACCAGTAGTTCTTAATTGGGGCGCTTTTGCCCTCAGGAGACATTGGTCAATATTTGAAGATATTTCTGGTTGTAATAACTGGGGAAGGGGTAGTCTACTGGCATCTAGTAGGTAGAGGCTAGGAATGCTTCTAAACATCTTATAGTGGACAGGACAGAACCTCACAACATAGAATGATTGGGCCCAAAATGTCAGTGGTACCAATACTTAAAAACCCTGGTCTAAACCATAAGAGAAGGTAATGCTGGACTTGGAAAACAGGGACTTCAAATGGGACAAGAGTAGAGGGACAGCCCAGGATGGTGGTTGTACAGCAGCCCTAGATTACCTGTCTAGGTGGGAAAATGTTTTGAAAATGATTTTTAGATTTTTAAGAAGATTTTGGGAATAGTTAATGATAGAGTCATAGAGCCTAAGCCTCCCTCCCCCCCAAAAAAGAAAGGTTTTGTTGAGGAAAAAAGTGAACAAAAAAAAGAAGAAAGAGATGTAGTCCTAGTATACCACTACCACTTGGCTTAGATTTTAAATGTATTTATATAGTTTGAACAATATAAACAGAACGTTGATTTGACCAGAAATTAAGATATAATGTGCCATGTTTTATAGCATGACATTAGCCCAAGAGTACTAAATCTTTATCTTTCATGATAAAAACAGTAATCTGAAATTAGGAAGTGAAAAATAAATATGAACATACCATGTAGAAAAATGGCAGCAGATACCAGGAAAAATACATGAAACAGTTGGGAGACATTATTGCTCAAGGTAGCAGCACTCACGGTGATGAGTGAGCTGGTGTGGGGCAAGAATATCCTGTTTTTGTTATGTTTCTATATGTAGAACTATTGAATATATATTAGAACTATTCAATATATTTCTACATATAGAAATAATTCTATGTATAGAACGATTTGATTTTTTAAAAAATTAAACATGTTTAGTATTTGGATGTATTATTCATTTTAAGATTAGCCTTTTCTGCTGTATCAGGGTTTTTGCTGAATATAAAAGACCTCTGAATGTATTAGATGTACTTTCTTCCCAAGTGGCCCAGAATGAGAGAAGGGCTCAGTGAATGGGGGTGCAGTGCATGGGGACCTAGGACTGCTGAGATCTGGACTTTGTTTTTAGAACCCACCAGAAAAACAAGGGTAATTAAATCCCATTTGTTTTCCAGCTCTTCCACATTGATTTTGGACATATTCTTGGAAATTTTAAGTCTAAATTTGGTATTAAAAGGGAGCGGGTGCCTTTTATTCTTACCTATGATTTCATTCATGTGATTCAACAAGGAAAAACAGGAAACACGGAAAAGTTTGGTCGGTGAGTATTGCCCTCATATCAGGGGTCTGCACACCTAATGTTTTCTTGTCTGACTCGCATTTCTTTGCAGAGGATTATTTAGGTCTGGGGGATATTCAGTCTGCTAATGGGGTTTTGGTGAGAATTTGCCTTTTAGATCCATGTTGTAATTCACATATACTCAGAGAAGAGAAACTAGATATTTGAAATAAGTTACTGTGTTTCATTCCAATAGTTTACCACCTTTTACCTGTCTCAGAAAACTATCTGAAACTGTTAAAAACATTTGCTAATGAGATGCTGAGAAGAGGCATTTTGCTGTCATTCATTGTAGAGTACAGTAAGGGAGCCAGGGCTCACAGACAGGCTTTGTAATCTCGGATCTATTCCTTGCTCCTTATATGTTTCCAGGCACTTTACTTGTCTTCCTTTGTTTCTTCGTCTTTTTTAAGTGTATGGATGTAGTTTAATATTTTTGTTCATCTTAAAATGGGGACAAAAATAATTAAATTCCAGGGCTATTATGGTAGAGGTATGTTATATGATGTAACCAATTCATATAATAGTCTTAACAAATAAATACTATTACCATTTCTAGTCCTACTTAGGTTTCTACAGAATATACCTCTGGGTTCATTTTTTCCTTTGGCAAAATTAGACTTGGATGTTCCTCTTGAATGACCATCTTGAAGAGAAGAGAGAAGGATGATGACAGGGAGGCGCAGTGCAAAAGCATTGGCACTGATTTAGGGGACATTAAAGACACTCGCCTCTAGCGTCAGACCACAAATCTAGAATCCAGAAGTATGTTCAGATATCCTCATGGATTATAATTGTCACTTGTTTTAGAATCATTGTTATTTGCCTCATAGAATTGAAAAGCCTATATTGCCTTTTATTATAGAGTTTCTCTTAAGTTTTGTGTTTGAAAAAGAGATGTGTGATTTTTGAGAGCTTGATTTATTTTGTGTAAATTTTATTCCTGGAACAATTTTTTCAAAGAAGCTAAACATTTGGTTCAGTAGGAAATGTTCAGCCCTTGTGGAAAGTCTAGATATGTCTCTCATTTTCTTTTATGAAATTTGCCGTCTCCTCTCTGACATCATGTTCTTGTAATTTGTGACATCAACTAAAGTTTCCGCCAGTGTTGTGAGGATGCATATCTGATTTTACGACGGCACGGGAACCTCTTCATCACTCTCTTTGCCTTGATGTTGACTGCAGGGCTTCCTGAGCTCACATCAGTCAAGGATATACAGTATCTTAAGGTACAAACCCCTTCTTTGTGCATCAGAGCTCAACTATACCTGCCTCTTTCATGCATTCAAATGTTCAAAAAGGGAATGGAACAGTCATTTTCTGTGAGACAGTTCTTACCCAGGAGTGGTAATGGCAAACACTTGGGTAGCTGTCTTGCAGTAGCAATAAATTCATTTCATTTTCAAAATCCCTTTGGCAGGGGTCATATTATCACCCTACTTGGATATTTATTCTCCCAACTGCAAATGGCATTCAGATAAAAATATGAGGCACACTCCTTCACCTTGGCTGGGGTGGCATGACCAAGCAAGCTTCCTGTGGACTTGGACATTTGCACATCACTTGGAAGGAAGTATAAAATCAAAATTTTTTCCCTCTCATTTTTAGGATTCTCTGGCCTTGGGAAAGAGTGAAGATGAAGCACTCAAGCAGTTTAAGCAAAAATTTGATGAGGCACTCAGGGAAAGCTGGACTACTAAAGTGAACTGGATGGCCCACACAGTTCGGAAAGACTACAGATCTTAATGATGAGCCTTTTTGCTTCTAATGCATTTGTTGGTTTCATTTTGTTTTCATTTTGCACTTGCACTAAATTGAACGTGACCCTGCCAGAAATGTTACAAAGGGAATGAAATTCTGAATCTCAGTTAAATTAAGAACAGGGCATCCCACAGAACCTAATCTGAACAATCCCCGATGACCACCCTCTCTCTGCTTTTTGAATGCTTCCAAGATTTGTCACGAAAACTGTCAACATTATGGATAATCATTTCCCTGCTGACTTTGCACGCCAAGGAATGCTACTAGAGAATGTTTTTTGTCTTTCTGACTTTATTTTCCCGTTATTTGGTACTTTTCCAGAAAGGTGTAAATACTTTTTTTTTTTTTGAATTTGTGACCACGTGTTATCACCCAGCCAACTTACTCACCTCTGGGGACTGGTGGCTGTTCTTAATTTCCAAATAAGTCATCTTCCTTTTTAAATTGTATAAACTACAAATTATATAATTTGAAATTGTGATTATTTTTCAAAGGAAATCTTTTAAACCCATGGAAACATTAATTCTTTTGTTGATATTTATCTACCATGATAGCATCATTCCAACCAGACTTGCTGAAAATCTATTGGTGAGGCAAATATATTTGCTGCATATATATTTATAAAATTTCTAGTGGAAGTTCTATATAAGAAGATATATCTTTGGTTTTCTTCAGCCTCTGTTTTATGAAAAGCAGAGCATTTTCTTCAGTTACTTTTCAGTTAATTATGTGATCCAGTTCTTCCAACTGCTTCTGTAATGAGGCACATATTAATACAGTTTTTACACGGTATCTATGAAAGAGTTCACTTCATAGAGCATAATACTTGAGCAAACATACCCAAGACAGAAAGCAAATGAAAAGGAAACTATTTATGGAATAAACTCTAGGCCTAAAACTCAGTATTTTAGTAAAATGCCAGCTGTTAGTGTATTTATTAAAACTTATAATAATGTGATTTTTTAAAAGGATATTAGTTCAGATTGAAATGGTTTCATGCCATGTGGAATTCTTTAATTTATTTGTTGAGGTACCATATATTTAGGGTGCTAGATGGCAAATAATGTTAATATGTGCAATAGGAACTACTGGTTTGAATGTGTAAATGGATGCTCTTTCTGAGTGCTGGCAACATCCAGCAAAACTACTGCTTTTTCTCCAAAGACTTGGGATCTCTCAGTCCTCATGACATGGGAAAGAGAACTGAGTATTTGCCCTGTGACTGAATTTTCTATAGGAACTTACTTCATTAAAGATTGTTTAATTTTGTTGTCTTCCTTAATGTTCTCAAATAAACGGGTGAGCTGGTTTCAGCTTCTCTTGGGATGTGTGGGCCTCTTCTATATGGCAGCACAGGCGTTTGGACCTTGGTGCTGGGACTCTTACGGAAATGTCCAAGAGAAACTAACCCAAGGAATTGTGAGGCATGCAGTCTCCCTGACTTCACTCCTTGCTTCCTGGTCCCTAAGGCAAGAGGGTACCCTCATCAAGTTTTCATATCTTTGGGAGTTACCCTTAGATCTGGGAGAATGCCTCTTCAGTTAACTCAGTCTCCAAGCCAAGGCCAGACTGTACCACTTTGGTGCTCTCTCTTCCGTGGGGTGCAGATGCTCAGAGCAGGTTGCATTTTCTTGGAAATTTCACCACCCTCAGCTGAGGGTGGTGGTTGACCTCTCAACATTCCCAGGGGTGGTCTAGATTCATTGAGAGTTCCAGGAATAGGACTAGAAGGAAGGATGGTTTGTTTATTCAGGGAGTTTTGTCTGGTATCAGTCCATCATTATATACCCCATGTTGCAGGTCAGGGGTTTTGGAAAGTAATGAGCATTGCCAGGAAGAAATGGGTATTACTGTTTCCAGAGGGGCCTCCTGAGCCCATAGGGAACCTTTATTAATATATGTTAAATCAGTGAATATGAGCGTCTTTAAGAGCCAGGAAGAGAAATGAACCTCCCCAGACAGTACCAGACCTGAGTCCAGAATGCTCTTTTTATACACTCTCCCCCCCTCCCAAACTGTAGGCTCTCTAAAGGCACCAGGAGTAGCTGCTGAGGACCACTAGCAGGTGCTCCTAGATACTTGCTGAATTGCCTGTTTGATTCTCAGGGGCTCTGCTGAGCCAGAGAGGAGGAGGTGGAAGGCAGAGGATAAGCAGCTTCTGGGATGGGTTGGGGCTGAACTGCAAGATCCGCTAGCTTCTTGCATGGGAGCTGGTTACTCAGTGAGTTGGCTCTAAGTGCTCTCTGGTCAACATTGAATCTTAAACCAAAACATTTAGCTCCCTCTCTTTTTGATACTTTCCCAAGTTTTCCCAAAACAGTTTTAGGAACCCTGTACATTTCCATAGTTGGAGACAGCATCTACATGTATCAACCCAGGTCTGGGAACACAAAGAATGACTTTGTTGAACAAGTAATTCCTGAGTATCCACCTCATGTCTGTAGACAAACCCTGAGCTTCAGAGGCCAATATTTGCTATCCAGCTCTGCCTCTGTGATCCTTGAGTAGAGTATTTATTATTTCTCAGGGTCTGAGCTTCCTAATTTGTAAAATGGGACTGATGATAATTGCTCCTCACTTCGGTGGAGTGGGGAGAGGCCAGATTAGGGCTATGAATGGGAACTGTCCACCAGACCTCAGCCAGGCAGCCTGTAATATGAGGTCACTCTTCTTCTTCAGGTGAAAAATTGGTCCTTGGGTTGGAAAGCAGAAAGGTACCATACCATGTGGCCCTGACAACTGGGGATGGACAGCTCTTAGGAGGAGGCAGGGGCTGGGGTTTTTTGGAGGGGTAGGCCTCTGAAATGAGTTTTCAAGGACAGATAGGAAGGTACAGCATATGTAAAGGTCTGGAATTGAGAAAAAAGCAGGATTCATGGTCAGTAACACACTCAACAATCACTTCTTCCCATCTGCCTCTTCCTCCATTCCAGAATGCTGTGCCTCTTCTCAGGGATTCAGGATCAGTCATGGATTTTCTCCTTTGTGAAATGCCTCCTTCAGGCTTTTGTGCATTTATTTATTTGGTTACATGTTGCTTTGTTGTTGTTTTTTTTAATTTGAGGATGGATTTTAAAAATTTTTCTGTTATGTGAAATTCTATGTATATTTTGTATACAAGCCCTTTGTCAGTCATATGTGTTGGAAATTTCTACTCGTTGTGTGACTTTTTCTTAAAAGTTTCTTCTAATCTTGATGTCATGTTTATCATTATTTTCTTTTATGGTTAATATTTCTTCTGTAGTATTTAAGAAATCTTTCTGTACCCCAAGGTAGGTAGTCTCTTCTGGATTATCATAAAAGCTTAATTTTTTTTACCTATTTCATTTAGATTTACAGTCTACTTGGATTGCCTTTTTTATATAGTGTGAAGTGAGAGCCAAATTTTGTTTTTCCCCATATAGGCACCAAGTTGTCCCAGTGTCTTACTGGAAAAATAATCCTTCCCCACTGTTTTATAGAGCCACCTTTGTCATAAACGAAGTGTCCATATATGCACGAGTCTGCTTCTGGATGCTAGAAGATACCCAGTAGATTTCATCTCCCTAGTTTTATTTTATTGTCAAACTTATACATACATTAAATGTAACTGTTAGGCACACATTTAATACATGTATAATAATTACATGTATTTATTCCTTATAACAATCTTATGTAATAGGTACAGTTGTTCTCCCCTACTTTACAGATGAGAAAACTGAGGCACAGGTTCAGTAACTTGTCTAAAGTAAAATCCAGTGTTCAAATCCAGGGAGTCTATCTTGAGTGTCCATGTTCTTTATTCACAATTATTGATGATAACTTCATATATATTTAGAATCTGCCTGTTGAGATTCACAGAAAGAAACCTATGGAAATTTCTAATGGTATTGAATTAAATGATAGAGTAGGCTGAGGCAAATTGACATCTTCAGAATATGGACTTTCCCAATTTATGACAACATAGTATCATTTATAGTTTTCTATGTATGGTCTTGTATATTTGATTTTAAGTGTCCTTGTTGCTAATATATAGCAGTAGTTCTCAAAGAGTGGTCTCCTGGCTAGGAGCATTGGCATCACTTGGGAACTGATTATAAGTGCAAATTCTTGAGGCCCACACCAGACCTACTTACTGAATCAGAAACTCTGGAGATGGAATCCAACAGCATGTGTTTTAATAAAAGTTTAAAGTTCCAGAGCAATCAATAGAAATACAATTGATATTGTACTGGCAGATGTACCAAACATTCTTATTAATCCTATTTGTAGAAATAATTTTGATTTTTGTATATATCATCTACAAATAATTGTAGCTTCTTTGTTTCAACATTTTATTTCCCTTCTGCACTGGCTAGGAATTCCAATAAAAGGTTGAATAGAAGCAATATTCAACCTTTTACTGATCTCAAAGGAAAAGTTTTTAACATTAAGTATGGTGTTTGTGCTACAATCTGGATCTCTTACCAGTTCAAGGAAGCAAACTTCAGTTCCCATGGGACTTTTTAAAAAATTGTGAACAGGAGCTTCTGGATTGGTAAACGCATGCATGTACTAGCTGTTGGCACACCCTGACTCCACGGGCGACAGCAGCTGTTGTGCTCAGGCCCCACCCAGACCTTGCCCTGTGGACCTCTTCATCAGGATGTTCATTTGTAACCTTTATAATATCCCCTGTAATAAACTGGTAATAGTATGCTGAAAAATCGTGAAAGGATATTGAATTTTATCAGATTATTTTTCTTCTCTATTTTACTAAGATGATCATATGGTTTTTCTCATTTGCTGAGTTATATTGATATGCAAGTATTAAATCAAGTTTACATTCCAGGAATGAGCAACTTGACTGTGATGTATTATCTTTTTTTATATATTGCTGGGTTTGATTGCCAATATTTCATTTGAGATTTTTGCATCTATTTTCATCAGTGGGATTATTCCTTTTCTTTAAAGGTCTGTGTCAGGTTTTGCTGTCAAGGTTTTGTAAGCTTGTAACACAAGTAAGATTGACATCATTTCTTACTGGAAAGTTTGGTAGAATTTTGTCAGTGATCTTGTTTGATGTTTTCTTTGAGATATAATTTCTTTAATAGCTAGAGGACTATTCAGATTTTTATATCTTCTTCTGTTCATATTAATGAGTTCTAATTTTCTAGGAATGTGTCCATTTCAACTACATTTTCAAATTTATTTTTATAAATCATGTGTTGAGTTTATTAATGTTGCAGGATTGAAAGTGGTGTCTTTCACTCTTGGTATTGAATAATGCCTTCTTTATTTTCTTAATTAGTCTCTAGCGGTTTTCCAATTACACTGGTCTTTAAAAGAATCAGCTCTTGGCTTTTTTGATCCTCTGTTGTGTGTTTGTTTTTTATCCTCCTTTTATCCTTATCTCATTCCTTCTACTTTATTTGTATTTATTTTGCTGTTATTCCTCCCCTCCAATTGTGTAAGATGTTGGCTTAGCTGATCAATTTTAGCCTATAATAATAACAGTGTTTATCTGCATCCCATTAGTTTTGATATGAAGTCTCCATTACCATTCAGTACAAAATATCAGCATTCTCCTGTAAATTGAAAGGTGTGGGTTCAATTCCCAGTCAGGGCACATGCCTAGGTTGCGGGTTTGGTCCTGGGCTGGGTGCATGTGGGAAGCTGCTGAATGATGTTTTCCTCTCATGTTGCTGTTTCTCTCCCCTTCTCCCTTCCTGACCCTCCCTCTAAAAATAAATAATTTTAAAAAACAGCTGTGTTTTGTGTACTCACAACTGTAAACCTCCTTTTGCCAACCACTGTATATGTGACACTATTTGACATTTCCTTAATATTAAGTTTCCAGATAGAAAATGTTTCTCATTTTCTCCAGCTAAACTAGCAATTATAGCCTTATGTACCAAGTGCTTTGAATTGGAGAGACAGCCTTCTGTAGAAGTTAGAAATATACGAACACATCCATTTTTAGAAACGCTAATTAAGCAGCACCAATTTTATAGTGTTTATTATAGTAAAAGTTCCTTTTGTAAAACATTGATGATTTTGGTCCATATCTTATTTTTCATTTGGCTTTGAAACATTTTTACGTTATTTACAAAATAAATGGAAGGTTTTTCTATTGTACATTATTTTTTCCTCTGACCCTTGGAATGTCACATCAAGTAACTTAAAAACAAAACAACCACAAACATGGCAGACTAAATGTACTGAGAAGTACATATTGAACATTTTTATTTACCACAGTATTTAAAAGTCCTGATTGTCACTTCTTAAGATTTTCATTAACATGAAGTCATTCAAGAAGTCTCTGGGATTTCTCTATTATCCACAATGAGAGTATGAATAATCCCTTCTTTCCGCTTTCCACTACTGACAGCCTTTATGTAACAGTCGTGGTTCCCAATACTGAAGTGAGTTTCTGTCCCATCATCTACAAACTCGCCCTAGGCCAACAAAAGAAGGATGAATTAGTGCTCAGAAACAGTAATCTTTATCTAGGGCATTAACACCATCTAGAAGGGTGGCATAATGCAGTACATATTAGTTAAATGTGAAGCTTTGCAAAATCGTGTCCAGATGCTGTTATATTCTGCTATGCATTGAAATTTCATATTTGTACTCCCTACAATCTAAGGATCTTGTTTGGGAGAGAAAAAGTAAACACGTACCTCACAGCTCTGTCTATACCATGTACTATGCAGACAGGATATTTTAAAAAGTAAAGCATAATGGGAAACATTTATTAGTCACTTGTTTTTATACCAAGAATGGTTTACATGCATCATTTCATTGCATCCTCACAATAACCCCAAAGAAGTGCTATTATCTTCATTTTGTAGGAATGAAGAACTTGAGGCATGGAATGGTTAATAACTTGCTTACTAGTCAGTAAGGGATGGAGTGTTCTTCACCACTCTGAAAACCTGATTCCTCAGGATGTAAAGTGACTTTACAATAAAATACACAGATAACATAAAATCAAACACTACTAAATCTAGACTAGCTCTGGTCAGTGCAGCAACCACTAGCCATACATGGCAAAAATGAGCATTTGGGATGTGGTGAGTCTGACATGCTGTATTAAGTGTGAAATCTACACTGGATTTGGAATACTTAATATGAAGCAATGTAAGATAACTCACTAAAAATGTTTATATTGATTACATATTAAATAAAACCACTTTGATAGACTAAATTAAATATAAAATAAACCACCTTAAAACATGGCTACTAGAAAAATTACACTTGAAGCTCACATCTGTGGCTTATACTATACTTCTATTGAATAATACTACTGATCTGGAGTAAAAAGATAGGGGTCAAGTAGTACAGAGAAGGAAGGATGAAAAGGAGGATTAGAAGATAAAAATGAAAGAGCCAAAAAGCAAACTCCAGTCAGCCTCAAAACCTGGCTGCGAGCTTCCGGGCAGCCGAAACAGACAGAGAAAGGTCCTGTAGCTAACATTAATTAACCAAAGAAAGCACAGGGTACATCTGGGAGAGAAGCCTTTTCCTAGCTTTGAGAGGAATTTGACCAATAGCTCTTCATGGGAGGCATACTGAACCCCTCTAAAAGGGCCAGGTCTGAAACTAGAGTGCACTGTGTGTTCTTTTCACTCTTTTATTTCAAGCCTTGAAAAATGCCTTTCTGTTGTGCTTCTGTAAAGATCAATTTAGAGGGCAGGGCAATAGTTGAGCAATACAGTCCCTTTAAGTAGCTTCTTGGCAATTTGACAGATATATAATCTTGGTCGTGAAACTTGCAGATAAATAGGAAGAGGAGAAAATAAGCTGTAACTCACAGGCAGCAAGAGCAGGTGTGCATAGTACTGGGGGAGCAACTTGCTACAAATGTGACTAGAGAGGAGGGCATCTCCTGCAACCCTGGTGCAGCAGCATGAAGGGCAGCATGGGAAGCAGGGGTGCTTCCCATTTGACCCCATAACATGGGAATTTCCACCCAGTGATTTCAGCTCCTGGTCCCACACTCTCTGCTTCCACTCCCTTCCTGTGTTGTATATACTACACCACTATTACTTCACTCCAGCTTGAAATTTACTCCTATCTTCACCCCACCCACAGCACTGACAGTGTATCAGCTGAGAGCAAGAGCCAGACACACGGTTTTAGGTGGGGACCTCATCCCGCTTGGCCACAATGAGTGGGCAGCCTCTTGGCACGGCCAGTCTATAAATTCCACTTGCCTGCTGGGGGTTGTGACAGTGCCCTTTCCTGTCTGCTTTGTGTTGTCATCTGACATTGTGTGCATTGTTTCTTTTTCAAAAACTGCTTTTAGGAAGGTACCATATGTTTTGAGGTGATGGTGTAAAAAAAGCCTTCTATTCAAAGTGTGACCTGTGGATCAGCAGCACTGGCATCACCTGAGGAAATACTAAGATTTGCATTTCAACAAGATCCTAAGTGATTTCTATGCACGAGTGTTTGAGACTCAGTGGTGTAAAGCACCACTTCAGGAGGCCGCAACTTTGCGGGGGAAGAACTGTCTAATGTGGGAACTCTTTTTTAGGATAGAGCCTGGTCCAGAAAAAGAAAGGTGGAGGGTGAGGTTTGTGAAAGTTTACAGCTTAAATTGTTCCCAAACTCTTCTTGCCCAGGCACCTTCTGGGAAAGGTTTTAAGATTTTGGAGTCTAGAGTAATTCATCTCTTTTGTTTTCAGCTAAGGACGGTGGCAAGTTATAAAACCTTCATAATTAGAAAACATAGCAGCATTTCAGCAATAACGCACACACACGGCGCGAAGGGTGATCAAAAGGCCCACTTACTGCCGTCTCCATTTTTTTACCGTTGCACCAGACATCCATGGTGTCTTTTTCTGTAAAAGTAACACATTTAAAAAATTATAATCTATGATTTAAAGATAAAGTTAACTCTGTAGTATTTTCAGAAAGGTTTGATACACTGGATTCCTAAAAGTCCATTCACTTTTCATAGCTTTCAAATTCTTCTAAACTTGAAGAAACTGATTATTCTTTGTTCACAAAATCAAAGTGAAAAAACACAAACTTCTAAGAGAAAATCCTGGTCCTGATACAAAGTGATGAAGACTTGTTAAACAAAAAAAAATAGCGCAGCACAATCTTTAAGGGAGGGTTATACGAGTCGCTGTGAGGAGGGACTTCCCCGCATAGAACGTCCTTAGTACCTCTGGTTAGCTGGCCAGCCCCGTCCTCACACAGACCCGGCCGGATGATGGCGCAGAAGGCCACCCAGAAAGGCTACCGTGGGGTTCATGGAGGGCGGACAGCATGTCAGGGCTAGGAATTGTGCCTGAAATTTCTTACCGGATAGCGAAGTAATCTCTTCATTTTTGTCATGATTTCATTTGGGGAAAAATTATTAGATCATAAGAAAAAAATATAGGTATGCTTGGTAGACTGTGCTGAGTACAGTGCTAATACAATAAGAGCCAACTGCTGCCATGAGTCACCTGGGCATTAGGCTGCCATAGCTCACTTCAGGAGGGGTGTGTGTGTGTGTGTGCGCGCCCATGTGCACAACTGTACATGCTTTTTGGAGACTGGATTCCCTAGACCCACTTATTAATGTCGGTGTCCTGGGGAGTGGCAGGAGAGAAAACAGCACTCAACAAGTGACCAGGGGATGAGCTTCGGGAATAATGAAGACTAGGGATGTGCATGGCCTGTGTGTGCACAAGGAGTCCAGGGGGTCGAGGCTGAGGTACCAGACTGGCGTGACACAGACAGGCCATCTACTCTGGAACGTGGTCTTAGGAGGATTCTTTTCTCCCCATACCTGGAGATGGGAGCCTCACTTAGAAAGTGGAGAAAGGACTTTGAGCTGGGCTAGAGGCAGAGGGGCCTAGGAGATATGGGTAGGGGCGCCCCTGCACCCCTGTGGCTTCTGAGCAGGAAGCACTTACAGCCACCATTTCAGGGAAACCCAGAGTGTCCCAACCTATGACCAGAGCACACAGTGCTAAAATAAACCACGATGGTGCTGAGACTGGAATTTTCCTCAGTGTGCCTGCTGAACATGCGCATGCGCTCATATTTATTTTTTTTCACATTTATTATTAACAGCTATTATTAACATGCCTCTGAGGAGCGCCACTAACCAGAGGCCATAAAAAAACATGGAATAAATTTGACTACATAAAAGTAGGAAAGTTTTCTGTATAAACAAAACCATGCACACACACAAGTAAAGTCATGCAAGACATGACAAACTGGAAAGAATATTCAAAACTCACAACACAGACAGAGGGCTAAACTCAGTAACATTAAGAACTCCTCTCTCGCAATCAAGGAGAAAGAGACCAGCCATCCCAGCAAAACGGGTCAAGGAACATGAACAGGCGTTATTGGAAAAGAAACTCAAAAGGGTCTTAAACATATGAAAAAATGTTCACCCTCACTCAATTTTGTGAAAGGCAAATGCAAGTAACACTGAAATATTATTTTCACCTAGCAGAATATCAAAAATCCAAAAACCCAACAACACACTGTCTTGAGAACCAGTGTGGAACTAGGTATGGGAGCATGAAATGGTAAAAGCATCATAGAGGGCAGCTGGGCAAAATCTAAGGAGACAAATGCAATTGATCTTGGACCCAGCAACACTACTTTCGCACTTCTATGAACTGCTCCTAAAGAGAGATGTGCGCTATATTCCAGGAAGCATGTGAATGAACAAGGTCATTCAATACAGCTTTTAACAGTAACAGAGTAAAAACAGCCCAAGTACCCATCACTTTGGAATGAGTTAGATAAGCTATTTTATTTACTATTTAAATTTACTCTATAGTTATAAAAAAGTATGAGAATATTCTTTATGTACTAATATGAAAGGATCTTCAGAATATACTAATAAATTAATAATGAAGATTTTATGTAATAAAGAAGTAATAAAATATATTTGTTTCCATCTGAATGAAGAAACACCAGAAGGATTCCATTAAAAATGGCTATCTTATCTTGGACATTCCTTGTAGCAATATTTTTTTTCTGATATTTTGCCTTGGTCAAGGTAAACAAAAGAAAAAAACAAACAAATGGGACTACATCAAACTAAAAAGTTTTTGTGCAGCCCTGGCTGGTGTGGCTCAGCAGACTGAGCACCAGCCTGCAAACCAAAAGGTCATCAGTTCAATTCCTGGTCAGGGCACATGCCTGGGTTGCTTAATGTCTCTTTCCCTCTCTTTCTCCCTCCCTTCCCCTATCTCTAAAAATAAGTAAAAAGAAATCTTAAAGAAATAAATAAAATTTTAAAGATAAAAAGGTTTTGCACAGCAAAGGCAACCATCAACAAAATGACTGAATGAAAGAATATATTCACCAATGATACTTCTGATAAGGAGTAAATATCCAAATTTCATAAAGTACTTATAAAACTCAACACCAAAAAGAATCCAATTAAAAAATAGGCAAAGGACCTGAATAGAAACTTCTCCAAAGAAGACATACAGATGGCCAATAGACATGTGAAGAGATGCTCAGTGTCACTAATCATCAGAGAAATGCAAATTAAAGCCGCAGTGAAATACCATCTCACACCTGTCAGAATCACTATCATCAATAAATCAACAAACCACAAGCCTGGTGAGGATGTGGAGAAAAGGGAACACCTGCACTATTGGTGGGAATGCAGTTTGGTGCAGCCACTGTGGAAAGCAGTATGGAGATAGCTCAAAATATTAAAAATGGAACTGCCTTATGACTCAGTGATTCCACCTCTGGGAATATATCGGAAAAAACCTGAAACAATAATTCAAAAGGATATAAGCACCCCTATGTTCACTGCAGTGCTATTCACAATAGCCAAGATTTAACAGCCCAAGTGTCCATCAGTAGATGGGTGGATAAAAACCTGTGGTACATTTACACAACAAAATGCTACTCAGACATAAAAAAGAAAGAAATCTTAACTTTTGCAACAGCATGGATGGACTCAGGGAGTATTATGTTAAGTGAAATAAGCCAGTCAGAGAAAGACAAGTACCATATGATTTCACATCACGTAGAATCTAATGAAATTTCCAAAATGGGCATATGCGTGGAGTAAACAGGGTGGACAGGAACGGGAGTGGAAGCAAGATTTCTCAATGTATCTTTTCACATCGCTTTTATTTCTGAATGATTATCACCTGTTCAAAAATTCATGTTATGCCCTGAGTGGTGTGGCTCAATTGGTTGGGCGTCATCCCACAAAGTGAATGCTCACTGATTTGATTCCTGGCCCGGGCACATGCCTGGCTTGTGGGTTCAGTCCCCAGTCAGGACATGGACTAGAGGCAACTGATAGATATTTCTCTCCTTCTCTTTCTCCTTCCCTTCCCCTCTGTCTAAAAATAAATAAATAAATAAAATCTTAAAAACAAAATAAAAAATAAATGAACACATTGATCTGATAAAGCATCAGCAGTGGATTCAGTGAGCAAAGGAGGCACCGGAGTGTGTTCACCTGGGAGCCTGTCCTCTCTGTCTACCTGCAGATTCCCCTGACCCACGTGACCAACAGCTGTGGTTTGCAGATACACCTGAGCAGGGATGCACAAGGTTTCCGAGCAGAAAGAGACTTTCCTCCCAGTGTGAAGTTTCAGCACAACAGTACTTCTCTCTTGCTGCCTTTGCTTTCCTCCCACAGTGGACAGCGGTGTGGCGACCGCCAGGCCTGACGATGCTGACCAGTGCTACCTGCAGGCCTCCGTGCGCCTCACATCCTTTGGGTGGGGAAAAGGAAAGTACAGGATCTTTGAGGTCAGAGAGGCCTGTGTTCAAATCCCAGCTTTGTGATTTATTAGCAGTATGCTTCCGAAAGTCACCGCCACCCTGAGTCTCGAATGGCTTCAGTTTCCTCACAGGTAAAATGAAGATGATATCATTTTTCTTGTGAACTGCTATAGGGGTTAGAAATAATTTACGTAAAATGCCTAGTGCAGTATCTGGCACAGAATATGGCCTCTCACTATACTGTATTGCTTTTGTTATTAAGAGCTTTTTCTCTCCTTGGTGTGTTTTAACTTCTCAATATAAAATTGAGAAAGTTATATAATATAGTTATTTGAAATCTGTCAAATAATAAATATATAGGTAACTTTCACCCCAAGACTCTAGGTAAGTCCATTCTTTGCCCATGTGCAACAGTAATAACCACAAATAATGTTTTAAAGGAACTCATTATGGGAGATACATTGCTAAATATTTTATATGTATTCTATTATGCTTCTCCCATGTAACTCTGAGGTAGATGCTATTATTATCCCCATTTTACAGATGAGGAAAACAGGGCTCAGAGGGTAAGTAATTTGTCCATCACACAGCTCTGACCCAGTAGCCTGCATTCCTCATCACCAATCTAAAAAATGCAGGCCTTAGTCAGAAGAGTCTGGGGCTTGGTGGGCGCTGGAAGTGGAAGCTCGAGCTATATACATACTCCAGGCAATTCTGCCCTCATGTCAGGAAACGGTTCTAGCCTTGTCCTTTTACCAGATCAGCAAAAGGCACAAGTTTGGGCTGAACTTAACTCTTTCAGGCTTAAGAGGAACTGTAAATGGATAGATAAGAGTGAAGACAGGCAAGGAGTGGGAGGAGGAAATGAGATTTTAAAGGCTAACAGAAGCCACCATGGATATGCAGATTCCTGGGCATTTAAAAGGAAACAAACGATAAACTTGGCATAGGTTAGGTAGCCTTTTCCAGTTCGCCTATGAGAAGTTACTATCAACGGTATTACAGTTTAGGAAAGCAGCTGATTAAGTTTCTAAAAGTATTTTGTTTAAAGTGTTTTAAATTTATTTTTAGAGAGGGGAAGGGAAGGAGAAAGGGACAGAAACATCAATGTGTGGTTGCCTCTTGTGTGAGCCCCACTGGGCACTTGGCCCACAACCCAGGCATGTGCCCTGACTGGGAATGGAACCAGTGACCCTTTGGTTTGCAGGCCAGCACTAAGTCCACTGAGCCACACCAGCCAGGGCTCTAAAGTTCTTGTAAAGGCTTGGTTTAATCATGTGAAACCCAATATGTTAAAATGTATTGACACTAATTCTAACCCTTTCAAAACCAAAACTTCCATTAGTAAGTAATGAGATAGAAGAGATCACAAACTTGACTGTAAAGTGCAGTGCTGCACTGCTAAACACATCACTGTGAAAGTCCGAAAAATAAAGATGAGCTTCCAAAAATTTCCAAAAACTAAATATAATCTTACTATATGATCCAGAAATCAAGTTCCTGCTTATTTATCCAACTGATTGAAAAATTTCTGTCCACATAATGTAAACAAATGTTTACATAGCAGGTTTATTCATAACTGCCAAAATTGCAAGCAACCAAGGTGAATGGATAAACAAACTGCAGCTGTCCCATACAATGGGATATTATTCATCAATAAGAAGAAATCAGCTATAATTGGCTCTCAGGGCCTGAAAAGACATAAAGGAATCTTAAATGCAAATTGCTAAGAGAAAAGAAGCTAGTACGGGAAAACTACATGTAGTATGATTCTAACTACGTGACATTCTGCGAGGCAAACCATAGAAACAGCAAAAAGATCAGGGGTTGCTAGGTGCTGGGAGAGGAAGGAGGAGCGGGATGACCAGGAAGAGCAGGGGGTCTCTGAGGCGGTGCAACTATTCTGTATGACACTGTCATGGTGGAATGTGACACTATACGTTTGGCAAAACCCACAGAATGTGCAATGCAAGAGTGAACTCTAGTATAAACTTGGATTTTAGTTAATAGCAATGTATCAATATTGATTCGCTAATTGTAACGGATGCATCCCACCCATGCGAGATGTCAACGATAGGGAAAACCGAGGGGATGTGGGTAGACGGAGTATATGGGAAAATGTACTTTCTGTTTAGTTTTTCTTTAAACTTATAACTGCTCTAGAAAATAAGTCCATTTAAAAGAAGGAGAGAGGAAGGTAGGAAGGTAGGCAGACAAAAAGAAGGGAGAGAGAGGAAGAGAAAGGATATGCGAGAAACAGAAATTTATAAATTTAGAAGACAGATAAAAAATCCAACATATACCACAAACTTCCACAGGTAAGAATCTGAAGCAAAGAAACAGAACTAATAATAAAACTATAATTCAAGAAAATTTTAAAAAGAAATTTGATTTTACACATTGAAAATAGATACTTACCATGTACCTGAGAAAATCAACCAAGAATTACCCTGATATAGTCTAGTAAAATTAGGCCAAAAAAAGGCATTTAAAAATATATTTCATTTATTTATTTTTAGAGAGAGGGGAAGGGAAGGAGAAAAAGAGAGAGAAACATCAATGTGTGAGAGATATATTGATTGGTTGCCTTTCACACACCCCCAGCTGGGGACCTGGCTCAAACCCAGGCATGTGCCCTGACTGGGAATTGAACCAGTGACATTTTGGTTTGCAGGCCAGTGCTCAGTCCACTGAGCCACACCAGCCAGGGCAACAAAGCATTTTTTAGAGAAAGAAAATCAGAATGTCATTAGACTTTTTAAAAAATCCTCACCAGAGGACACTTTTTCATTGCTTTTAGAGAGAGGAAAGGAGAGAGGGAGAATGAGAGAGAGAGAGAAACAGTGATTTGAGAGAAAGATCCACTGGTTGCTTCTCATACATGCCCCAACATGGGGATCGAACCCACAACCCAGGTATGTGCCCTGACCAGGGATGGAACCTGCAACCTTCTGGTTTACAGGAGGCCACTCTAATTAACAGCGCCACATCAGCCAGTGCTCACTAGACGTTTTAACAGTAACAGATTATGCCTAAAGAAGGCAGAGTAATATACCCAAGATATTTTTAAACTTTTTATTTATTGATTTGAGAGAGAGAGAGAGAAAAACATCAATTTTGTTGTTCCACTTATTTATGCATTCATTGGTTGCTTTTTGTATGTGCCCTGATTGGAGGTTGAACCTGTAACCTTCATGTGTCAGGATAACCAAATGAGCTACCTGGCCAGGGCTCTAAGATACTTAAGGAAAGAAACATGAGCAAAGAATATTATATCTAACCAAACTGACCTCCAAGTATAAGTGATACTAATGTCATCAACATATGAAACTCAGGCAATATTGTTAATATTCCTAAGGAATATACTAGAGAACAAGTCTCAGACAAGCAAAATGACCACACAGGAGTAATATAATGACTTACAGAACTACGTATGGGCTGGAAGGAACAGATCATAGTATATAATGGCTGTATGTTCACAGATACAGTAAACTGGAAAATGATACAAAAATATTTAAAAATTTTTTGGTAATCATATTAATGGTGGTAGTATTTATGCTGTTAATGGAAACTATTATGTATGTTATGTGGCACAAAGCAAATAAGTAATTATGTCATATGCTAATTGCATCCTCCTTTGTGTCCTTGAGAAAAATTCTCAGTGTGGAAGAAGGGACATACAGATGTTAGATGAAGTTCGTCCATCCATCCATCCATCTATATAATTTCCTTGCTTCATACACTGAGAACCTGAAAATAGTGAATGTGCATCCTTAAGTTATGTCCATATTATGCTCTTGAAATAGTATTATTTTCCTCTAACAAAAATCAGGTCTTTTGGAGAAATGGGTGATTCCAGGTTTAGGCAGAAAATGTTCAAAGTGATCAGCCTAGGACATCCTGCCATACCAGATAGCAAGTGAGCTATCAAAGTTGACTAAGGATGTGTCAGAAGGACTGGGAGCCAATCTAAGGAGCATCCATCCCACTGGCCACAAAGGGGAAACTTTGAGCATCAATAAAGATAATACTTGAAATATATTAAAATGCATTAAAAATGTTTAAATCCATGAGTTAATGATTTTAAAAAACCTAAATGATCACCTTTTGAAAGAAAATAAGGAGCTGATTCAATATATTGAAAACTAATAAAGGAAAAAGAAGCATTCTCTCCCTCCCTCCCTCCCTCCCTCCCTCCCTCCCTCCCTCCCTCCCTCCCTCCCTCCCTCCCTCCCTCCCTCCCTCCCTCCCTCCCTCCCTTCCTGGCACATGCTTATTGATTTTAGAGACAGGGGAAGGGAGGGAGATGGATAGAGAAACATCCATGTGATGAGAAATATCGTTCTGTTGCCTTTCGTACAAGCCCCAACTGGGGACGAACTCGCAGCCTCGCCACGTGCCCTCACTGGGAATGAAACCCATGACCTTTTGGTTTATGCCACAGAGCTCCAACCAACTGAGCCACACCAGCCAGGGTGTTCCTGAATTTCTTAAAAAAATTTTACCTCTGTGTAACTAAATAATGGATAACAAGAAGCTTCTCATTATAGAAGTACATCACCTAATGAATAAATGATAGAATCAGAATACCACATTTCGTAAGTGTTAATGAATTCATGGATATAAAATGTCATCAAAAATTGACAATACCATGTGTCTCTTGATACAACAAAGCATAAAGTAGTCTTTCCAGGAAAAAAACCCCTACATTTGACCAATTCTTCAGAGTAAGCTACCAATTTACAAGAATATTAAAGACAGAGGAACATCACAGGGAGGCACTCCACAAAATTCAGACCGCAGAAATCTCTTCAAGACAAACCAACCCTGTTTCTTCAACACATAAGGTGTACAGGAGTTTCTGGGGGGTTTTCCTAACTAAATGCATTTATTGCTTGATAAACATTTTTCATTCTTAAAAAAATCTTTTTAGCCCTGGCTGGCATAGCTCAGTGGATTGAGCATGGGCCTGTGAACCAAAGCATCGCGGTTCGATTCCCAGTCAGGGCACAGGCCTGGGTTGCAGGCCAGTTCCCAGCAGGGGACACACGAGAGGCAACCATACATTGATATTCTCTCCCTCTCTCCTTCCCTTCCCCTCTAAAGATAAATAAATAAAATCTTTAAAAAAATCTTTTTAGAGTCATTTGCCAGCATTTGACTAGACTGCGGAATGTCGAAGACATGGACGAAAGCTCTGCATCTCCACGTCCTCAGTGCCCGGCACACTGACTGCGGTTCAGCAGGTGCTCAGTATTCTCTAAGGAAACACATCAGTGAGTTAACAGGGTGACCTGACCAGTCTGAACTTCCCTGACATGGAGAGGAAAGCAGGAGAAACCAGGAGAGAGAAAAGGTAGTAATGGTAAATATCCATGCCACAAGTTCTGAGGGCCCATAGAAACTGAGAACACAGACGGTAAATCTGGAAGAACAGAACTCAGCTTAAAGCTCAACAGCTCCTCACTTTTTACTTTTTAATCTACTTTATCTGGATTCTGACGATTTTGATCTCCTGCAGTCCTAACCCTATTGCCACCTAGAGAAAAATTCCCTTCCTACAGATGAATCTTGAATTTCCAACTCCCTTTAGACAGGCTTTTAAAGTGAAATATCAAAAAACAAGTGTCTATGCCAATATCTGTTTTTGTAAGGCCAAGTTTATAATCCCAAAATCCATCACTATAAAATCTGCCTCCTACTTTATATATAAATTAATTGATTAATGAACACCTTATCCATACAGAACACATTTTAAATAGACCTGCACTTGCATTCTTGCTACTCGAAGCCTCCATGATAGGTCTGGACAGTAGGGAAACTAACTGAACAGCCGTCGTAAGAGCCAATACGTTCTGGAGAAACAGCCATCACTCACCGAGCACAACTCTGAAGTCCTCACCATCCAAATGTAATACCCATGTATTGGTGGTTTTTGATCTGTTCTCCATATACTTCTTGAGACTTTTCCCATCAATTTCCAGGGTATATTCATAAGCAAAACCACTGACAGCATCTATATTTATGGTTGCTTTTGTCTTTGCAGCTCCAACACAGAAGGTTTCTTTGCCCACTAGCTTGAACATCCATTCTTTTCTTATCTCCTCCTACATAATAAAATAGAAAAATTGAAAAAGCATGAATGGGGGAAAATTTAATATTTAATTTTAGAAATAACATAATTAAAGTGAGCAAATGACAATGCTAGTTAGATATAGTTTTAATTTGTGATGCAAAGATTTTAGAAAATAAAGGCATTTTAAGTTTAAATATTAGATGTTATATTTAATGAATTCTATAACTATTATTAGATCATATTGTACAGCAAAATGATATCAGCCAAAATATAAAGATAACCACTTTAATAAGAGAAAAGCCTGAATTCACATATGAAGAATCTATATTAACAAAAATCAATCTTCTCCGTATACCATATTTATAAAGTAGCATGTTTTTTTCCTACCTTCCCATCTACATATACTACTCGTTTGCCGGATGTGGTCCCATGTTCAAATTCAATCTTATGAACTCCGTCACTTAAAGCAACATCCCAAACGGCTACAAGATCTGTCATTTTTTCCAGGCTATGCAGGGGGCTAAGGGAATAAAATACGGCAATTACAATGGGCCAAAGACAGTAATAGACTAGCCAATTAATCCTTTCAAGATGAAAACAGATTGTAAAACCCCTGAAATTACAAATATTAAAGGATATTACCTAAGAAATCCTACAAGCACAGGTAACTATCTCCTTCCTCTTAGACACTCCTCCTTTAAGATAAAACTACTCTATAAGGGTACATAGTCGGATAATTCCAAACAAAGTCACCTTAATAGTAATAGGATTAAGAATCTATCAGTTTATCCATGCTAGTATTCTAAGTTTGGCTACAGAATAATGCTGGGAAAGGTCAGTAAGAGGTCTCTATTTCTCCCCCCTCGTCCCCCCATTTCAAAAGCAGTGTTTAATTTTGAATTTTCTTCTCCAGATCTAATCACTCCAAGACAAGAATTCTACAACACTTTCATAGTTACACTAGTGGCTAGGAATTAATTTTAACAACCAAAAAAAAATGTTCTAATTCACTAAAGTGAGACTGAGAGGTCATGGAAGAAATGTCCTATATCAAAAATTAAAATGTTATGGAAAATAGTAACTTGTCATTACTGTAGGAAACCATATTAAAAAAAATAAAGGATTCTAGTTAGTCAGAAGTTTGTGGACCAATTTAAACACATTTTAGTATAGAATGTATATTAAAACACAATATAAACATTTTAATATAAAACGTGTTCTATGTAAATGACATGTATAATATGAATATAACAGAAACAATATTTTGACATTGATACAGGTTTTTAGCTTTGAGAGATGTCACCTTACAGCATTGACGATCATAGCTAACAGGTAAGTGCTCACTGTGTGCCAGTCACTGTTCTAAGGGCTTTACAGATAGTAACTCATGGAATCCTCACCATGAGACAGGTACTATTATTATCCCCATTTGATAGACAAGAAAACTGAGGCTCAGAGAGGCTTAGGGCTTGTCTTAGGTCACAATGACAGTAAGTGGTAGATGGGACTTAAACTTAGGACTCTGGCTCCAGAGGCTATTCTCTTAACTACAACCTAGTCTTCATTCCCTGTAATCTACTTTGTGTGTTCTATATCAGAGGTACTAAACGGCCTTTATATCATTTGGAAGTGATTGCCAAGAACTTGGTACTGAACTTGGGATTTGAAGATCCTACTTCTGGTCCTATGGAAGTGCCACATTAGTGAAGGCCACCTTCGTGTCAGGTGTTTATTACCTTTGTTCTACACCATAGAAAAGCAAAACCATGCATTGTGCAATTTCACAAAATGTGTCCCCTAAAAAGTAACCCAGATAAATAACTCTTCTGAATGATTAAAACAATCTTGAAACTTTCAAAAGCTAGTTTATCACAACACAAGACATTTACCTTTCATCATCTTCAAAGATAGGACTGTCATCTCCAGATGCCATGGTTGGCAAAATAGTCTTTAATCCAATTAGCAGCCAGGAAAGAAAAAAGCAGAATTGCAGGCAAGAAAGATTGAGAGCAACAAAGATGGTATCTGCAAAGGGTTTTTCTAACTTTGCAATCCGTTTCTTAAATTACATGCAGTTTCTGATGAAACAGCTTTTACATCCAATAGAATTGCGAGCCCTAATTTTTAGGAAAAGAAGTCATGCCAATTGGCTAATCATTTTTCTATGATATGGATTTACAATTTCCTAAAACTAGAGAAGAAACTCTAGTTTATTGTAAGGATTACACCACACCAGAGCTTCAAGAGACCCAGAGGTTCTCTGGATCCCATGTTTCTCGATTGAGGCAGAAGAAGCTCCACGGGTGTGAGGCGGTGAGTGGGTCAGAGAGTACATAAAACTCCGGGATAGATGGAATGCATCTTCTGGAAGTACCAATGTTACAGGTGGTAACAAATTTAAAATGCAATCTTTACATTAATTTTAGAAGGCTACATTATGGTAGAATATATAATTTTTAAAAATTTTAGATAACTTCAAAGAAATGTTGAATTTGCAGGAAGCAGCCAAGAATGTGCCAGTTCACTTCATAACAGCAAACTTAATTTATCCATTTACTCAAACCTATTTCATTTACCAGTGTCAATAATGAATCCACAAAAGTTATGTGGTTTGCTCAGGTCACTAGAAGGGCCCAGGCCCAAACTACAGCCCGGTGCTCCTGTGCAACGAACTATACTGAACTGGGCTGTAATGTGAATTGAGCTTTTTTTACTGAGACCAGAAGCACAGATATACTTACAATCTGTGAAACCCTCCACATTCAAAGATTTGAGATTAATGGTGGTACCCCTGCCAAACCTACTGAAAAACAGGCTCACTAATTTTTGCTACCAAGATCTACCCTAGCCTGGCCCTCTCACTACAGATGCCCAAGGGTGCTCACTCCTTGTTAAAAATGGGAGATCATCAGCCTTCTTTGGCTAAAAACAGTCAGAAACCACAAATTGTTTTTAAAAAGATGTTAAGAAGAGATTAGCATCTATGAAAGCATTATAAAAGGCAAAGAAAAGCAAAGAATTTTGGAATGAAAACTAGGTAAATATCAAAATACTTTGTACCTAAAATAAACTTCCTTTTTAAAATTTGCACCTTACAAATTTGATGATTTTTCTAGTCTTAAGCTCCAGTGTATTGCCTATGAAAGTGGAGGGTATCCTACAACTATGAAAGCAAGGAGCACACAAAGCAATAGAGTAAGCCAAGCAGCGTAATATCAACTTGGATAAGGCGTCCTTTGAGGCAGAGAGGACTTACGGATATTATTCAAATTCTGCTCTACAACTTTTAGAAGCTCTAGAAAGCAGTAATTTCAGCATTCAAACTTGAAAGAACTGCCAAGTTACCCACTATAAGGAGTTTCCAGTATCACATCCTAAGATAAAGAATGGTACCATCTTAACTATAGTGACTTTTCATATAGGTATAAAAAATGACACAATCAATTTAAAGGGAGATTAGAAATCAAGATAACATTTTAAAATATTTTTCTTTAAATGATCAACATTCATTCATTTAGTCAACATTTATTTATGCTGTTTAAGGTGTTTTAAAAATGTTTTGAAAATAGTGATGATGGCTGAACACCACTGTGACTGTATGTAATGTTACCAAATTGTTAACACTTAAAAACAGTTCAAGTGGCAAATTTTATGACATACCTATTTCACCATCACTTTAAAAAATACTCTAGTATACCAAAACCTTGAATTGCACAATTTAAATGGGTGAATTAGATGGTATATGAATTACATATCAATGAAGTTGTTAAAAACAAAAGACCCAGGTGCCCTGTCAGTAGTGTTTCTCAGACTGTGGTATCACTTCCGATCATGGGATGGTCACAGCTGTCCTCGTCCCTGATCAAATGAATAGGGCCCTTATTCATTTGAATGAGAAATCACTGTCACACACAGATCTCTAACTTATAAACTGCACATAATAAACACATGTCATCTTCTAAGTCCATCCACCATGATAACAGTTATCAGTGGCTTTCATGCAGGCATTGAGCTGGGCACTAAGCTCAGAGTGAGGGACTCAGAGACCAAAAGGTAACGACAGCACAGCCATGGGAGTGTCTCGTAAAGGGAGTAAAGTGCAGAACGGGCTCACAGAGAAAGGGCCCTAACCCTGCCAAATGTGCGGGAAGGCCTTGGTTTAAAATCTGGGAGAAAGGAATCAAGGCACTGTAATTTTTAAATTCTAATACATATATTCAATTTTTAGGATCACATCACCAAAAAGGAAAATGATAGTGACAAAGAAAGATTTCTTCTATTTTAGCACAAAATGTTGTAAATGAAAAGGATGGAAACACAAATTCCATTCATGTTTATTGATGAGGTCAATGTCACTCACTCAAAGTCTTTAACAAGTCTTTTACGAAAATTTTTGAGTATCTAGTGACTACCTAGCAGCATGATCTTTAAAATCCCTTCCCTAGCCACACAGCACCTGTGTTTCAGAGAATGACTTAAGCATTAAAAGGTTTCCACGACTCATCTAACCCCAGCTTGAATTTTGCATTAACTTAGAACTTAACTGTACTGAGGACCACAGTGGTTTGTCCAAGCTAAAGTTAAATCAGTTTTTAAAATTACTAAAGTACTCAGACTAAAATTACTAAAGTACTCAGAATTACTAAAGTTCTCTGGGTAAGGCCAGCCACAAGGCCGGTCACTCTTTAACAAACCGGTGTTGACATTTTGCCCCCTGTCCCCTGCGACCCACTGGGACCTACAACGAAGTTGGTTGGAAAGTTCTTTGAACCAGGTATTATTCCCAAATGCTAGTGGAGGTACCAAAAACGAGAATAACTCTTTTAAGCAATTTGCAATGTATACATACTACGAGCCTTTAGAGGAGTCACTGTAAGCAGTGATGCTCAAAAACCAGATGGAACAGTGCTAACAGATTGCTTTTGTAACAGCTATAAACTGAAAACTACGTATATGTTCACTAACAAGGTCGGAATCCAGTAAGTAAATAAATCACAGTCCTGTCACTCAACAAACTGAAGGTCAAGCCCGGGCCAGACTCCGGGGAGGGATGCAGAGGTTAACCTGGCACACATGATCACAATCTAGTGCAGTCAATAAAAAGAAACGTGGGAAAACGTTTAAAGCTGAAGGTAGATGCCCATGATGTATTAAGAGAAAGAAGTCAAGTTACAACACTTTCTGATCCAGGTCCTGCAAAAACAGTCTGATCGTGCTTACTGGGAAAAGGAGGGAAATATTCCCTAATGCTAACCCGGGTTGTCTCCGGAGTGCCGGGATTCGGCTCATGTGCTTCTTTCCTTGTGCTTTTCCACTTTCTCAACAATAATATTCAACTTCGAAAAGTACAATATTAACTTTACAGTTGGGGGACAAGGCCTTCCGGAGGCTGGAGCGGCTGATCGAAGGGCCTGGTTAGGCAGGGGCGCGAGGGACTCCGGTCCCCGCCTTTGATCACGGCCCTGCCGTCCGGACACGCCCGGAACACACTCCGGCCGACGCCGTGCCTCACCGCGGGCTCACCGCAGCCGCGAAGACGCTGCCCTACAGCTCGCAAGGCCCGCCGCCCACCGCCGCCCACCGCCGCCCACCGCCGCCGCCTTTCGGAGATGGCGGCCGCTCCTGCTGCAGAGGGGGCTCCCGGGACTGCGCGCAGGGGCATCCGGGGGCCGGGCCACGGCGCCGCACGTGGGCCGCGGGTCTCACCTGTACGCAGCGGGCGCCGTGAGGCTCTGGGCCAGGCCACCGGTCTGCGCGGCCTCCGGCACGTAGGCCTCCGGGGCTTCTCCCTTCGCTGTGAACCAGACGCTGCCTCTGCAGAAACTAAAGCTCGGAGAGCGCGAATACCAAGCGGGCGGATTGTTTGTCGCGTTTCAGGTCCCCTGGGGCGCACAGGCCGCCAGCCGCCCCCCCCCCCCCCTCACGGCAATCCAGCCCCGCCCGCCGTTCCGCGGATGGCTTTTAGCTCTGGGCAGAGGCCCTTCCAGAGAAACACAGCCCGGCACTGCATCTGGTCACCATGCCAACAGCGTTGGTAAGAACCAGCAGTGGTAGGCGTTGGACTGGACCCTAGGGATGATAACCTCGAGGGGCAAAAACGGACCCTGTGCCTGCGCTGAAGTCAACGGGCAGTTGGGATCGATGGGATCAGGGCATTCCCGCCTTTAAACCTCCTATGGGTTCTGATTACGTCTTTGGTTTAGAGATGCCAACTCCTTATGGGAGGCGTAAGGCCCGTGTTTGAAGTAGTTCTTGCCTACCTGGCTTCATTTAGAAACGCAGGTGATGCAAGCTCCTTCTCCCCTCAGGGCCTCTCCAGTGCTCCTGACTTCTTCCCTTAGATAATGTCCATTTTGTTGTTGAAATTCCAGGGGCGTCTAACCTTTTGGTCTCTTGGGGCCACACATTAAATACATTGAGACACATAATCTCAAAAAAAAATCTCGCACTGTTTTAAGTAAATTTCCAATTTTGTGTTGGGCCACATTCATAGCCATCCCGGGCTGTGGACAGCCCTGGATCATTTCTTAGGGAAAACTATTCTGGTCCCTAAAGCACCTGTAATTCTCCTTCGTCCCTTTCAAGGTGTGCAATTTTTTGTGTGTAATTTTTGCTGAATGTGTATCTTGTTTTAAAATAGGTTTTACAGCCCTGGCTGGTGTAGCTCAGTGGATTGAGCATGGACCTGTGAACCAAAAGATCGCAGTTTGATTCCCCATCAGGGCACATGCCTGGGTTGCAGGCCAGTTCCCAGCAGGGACCAGTTCCCAGCAGGGGATGCACCAGAAGCAACCATACATTGATATTTCTCTCCTTCTCTCCTTCCCTTCCCTTCTAAAGGTAAATAAATAAAATTTTTTTAAAAAGGTTTTACTAGAATGGAAGGAAGGGAGACAGGGAGAGAAACATTGATGTGAGAGAGGACGGAGAGAAAACACTGATCCCCTGCCTCTCTTCAGGCTCCCCAGAAGGGCACAGAACCACAACCCCCAGCCCAGGCACTTGTACCCACCAAGAATCAAACCATTGACCTTTCACTTTGTGGGTGGACACCCAACCAACTGAGCCACACAGGGGCAGGGCCTGCATGTGTATCTTAGTAGACTGAGATCTGTGAAGGCAGGGACCATGGTGGCCCAGCTGTCATTTTATCTCCCACATTTGCATAGTGTAGGCTCCCTCAGAGTAGGCTCTTATTAATGTTTGTTGAATGACCAACTGAAGATCAGGCCTGGGTAATGTTTTAGGTGGCCTTGGGTTTCACTTTAAGGAGGGACAATGTCACCTGCAGAGAAAGAGGAAGGTTGTTGAGTGGGACACCTGAGGACAGCAGTGAGTGGTCCCTGTGGAGAGTGGGCCCAGCAACAAAGCAGAGACATGACAAGTGTTCTGGAGGGGTTCTGAGGGCCCAGCAGATTTGGGGGCAGAGAGGCATCCAGACCTCTTACGTAATCTCTTCTTGCAGCTTGATGTCGATGTAAAGGACTGTCTCACCTTTGGGGTTAAAGGGTGGATTCATTTCTACATTCTAGGCCAGTATGTGAGTAAAGGGGGAATTGAGAGGCAATAGGGAATAATCTTTTGATTAGATTATACAGTCTACAAACTAGTAACAACTGAATTATTTTTATTTTTAAGAGAGAGAAACATCAAATGTGAAAAAGACGCATTGATGGGTTGTTTCCTGCTTGCTCCTGGACCTGGGAGTGTAAGTGCCTGGACCTGGGATCTAGCTCTCAGACCAGGGTTTGAACCCACAACCTACGTATGTGCCCGGACTGGGAATTGAACTGGCAACCTTTCAGTTACAGGATGATGCTCCCACCAACCGAACCACATTGACCAGGGCAATAACTGAATTCTTAAGTAAATTACGTTACAGGAATTCTGCTTACTGAGTGCTGGGTTCTTGTTTGCTGCTCTGTACTGGAAGTCCCCTGAGACAAAGACTTTTCATGTTTGTATTTTCTTTTGCACCAATATCTTGAACAGGGAGTTTAAAATAAATGATTGTTGAAAGAATGAATTAAGGGGAAAAGGTAAAAGACTCCAGAGTGGTGAAATTTCCAGAGTTGGGACAAAGCTGGGTGAAGATGTCTCCTTAATTTTTTTTCCCTAGTCCTTAGTTCTTCTTAGAAACAATCCTGAGTTGTTGGGTTAAGACTAGAAAATCCTGGTCAGTAAATCAAAGACGTGTTAATGAAGGATCATATTTTCTTATAAAACTTTAGGAATTGGGCTATCTTTAACAAAACCAATGGGGTCATTTATCAAGTGCTTGCTATGTGCCCTTGTATCATTGCCTATAGTTTTTTAAAGATTTTATTGATTTATTTTTAGAGAGAGGGAAGGGAAGGAGAAAGAGAGGAAGAGAAACATCAACATGTGGTTGCCGCTCGCATGCCCGCTACTGGGGACCTGCTGTACAACCCAGGCATGTACCCTGACTGGGAATCGAACCAGGGACCCTTTAGTTCACAGGCCCATGCTCAGTCCACTGAGCTGGGAGAGAAACACTGATGGCACACCAGCCAAGGCTCATTGTCTATAATTCTTACAACAGCCAGTGATTATATTTACACCAAATTACAGAGAGACTCATAGCCCTTCAGGAGTTGCAGGGCCAGTATGTGGGGCCAGGCCTGTGGAATTTGAAAAGTTCACAACAATAGGACCTTACTAGAAAAGTGTTCATTAAGATTGAATAAAATCCGAGCCTTGTCTTTGAGGCCTAGAAAGATCCTGTGCCCTGGGACAGCAGGGTGAGCTCAGAAGGTGCACCCGGGTCTGCACCCAGAATGGGCAAGGCAGTTCGTGATTTCACAGGTGACCTGTTCTGTGTCACTATTTTCTCTTTGGATATAGTGTTTGGGATACTTGGGATTAAGGAACATACCGGTTTGGGCTGCATTTTTCACCTACTCTTTCCCTGGGCCCAAGACACTAGAGACAGGAATAGTATGTTGTTACCAGACAGGATTGTTATGGAAAGAAAGAAAGCTGAACACAACATTGTGAAAGGTATTGAAATTGAGTACAAAACATACTCATTCATTCAGACTGATCCTGCCTTTGACTTTATTCTCGCTCTCAGATTGTTTCCCAGGAAGTACGTGGATGCTGCTCTTTCTTCTTAAATGGCCTCTCACCAACTTGCCCATAGATATCAGTGATTTGTGTTAAGAGAGAAGCTAAAAATGCTCTCATTCACAATAGTCCATGTTTTAATTGAGCCTCCTTTTGCAAAGAGAATTGTTAATGGGTTGACTGATTTTCTGAAGTTACTTTTTAAAAAATTTTTTTTTAATCTTTTTTAAAAAATATTTTATTTATTTTTTGAGAGAGGGGAAGGGAAGGAGAAAGAGAGGGAGAGAAACATCAATGTGTGGTTGCCTCTGGTGAGTCCCCTGCTGGGAACTGGCCTGCAACCCAGGCATGTGCCCTGACTGGGAATCGAACCTCGATACTCTGGTTTGCAGGCCCGCGCTCAATCCACTGAGCTACGCCAGCCAGGGCTGAACTTACTTTTTGAAGAGCATGAATAGAGATAAAAATAAAAGGAAAAGTACATAGTCTGATACCTACACGTTTAAAATTTTAATGTGACCTTCCAGCATTATTCCAGTGTGACTACCAGCTCTGTGTTAAAGGAAGAGGCCCCAGTGCTTTAGGCAAGAGCTCAGGGCCCAGGATTCTGGCCTTAGAGGGCTGTGTCAGAACCAGTGTCAGTGATTACAGCCTCATGCTGCTGGCCGGGCTCTCCCTCAGCTCAAGGAAGCTGTGGCGCAAATGCAGAAAGTAGAGAAGCAAACCAAGGTGATTTTGTAGACCTTTCCAGACAGACCTCCAATATATGTGTCTGGAAAAAGTCCAACCATTATAAATATAATGAGAATGGTTCTCAGGACTTCACTGAACTAGTCAGTGGGGGTGGTAGACGCTATTGAGTGAGCATGTGTACTGTGTGGCTGTCACATTCAAAATGACTGAGCAAGCCCTGGTGGCTGGTGTGGCTCAGTGGATTGAATGCTGAACTGTGAACCAAAAGGTTGCTGGTTCAGTTCCCAGTCAGGGCATCTGCCTGGGTTGCTGGCCAGTTCCCTAGTTGGGGGCCTGTGAGAGGCAACTGATTGATGTATCTCTCACACATCGGATATTTCTCTCCCTCTCTTTCTCCCTCTTTTCCCCAGTCTCTAAAAATAAATAAATAAAATCTTTAAAATGACTGCGTAGAGCAAAAATCTGCATCAAATTTTGCATTAAGCTTGAACATCCCTCCGCAGAAACTATTTGGATGATTCAGAAGGCCGCAGCTATGGGCAGCTGGTGATTGGCAGTTACATCATGACAGTGTTCCCGCTCATGCATCATGTGTGGCGTGGAGACTTTTGGCAAAACATCAAATCATCCAGGGGACTCAGCCCCCCTCCAGCCCAGATTTGGTGCCCTGTGACTTCTGGGTTTTCCCAAAACCAAAATCACCTTTGAAAGGG